GATGAGTTATTACTGAAAGAGGCCTGGCTCAGCCATTCAGATAGAGTTACCATTAACTTGTGTTACACTGTTTGTACGGTGCATTATCTGGCTTATTTGTGGCATACCGGTGAAACTGACGCCTTAGGAAGAATTAAAACTGATATATCACCGACTACCATTGCTTTCACACAAAATACTGCTGTTACAGATTTTGCCATGAGCATTTTTACTGCTGCTTGTCAACCCACACCAGTGATGTGTTGTTAAGCTCTGTCTACTGTCAGAAATTGCTTCATGGTATTAGTACCCCAATCACTGATACTGGTACTGCGTTTAAGTGCCAGTATTGGCGCCATTGCCGATACAATATCATTATCAGTGCAACCCTGTGTGTAATGATTCGATTTGATTCACTGTTCTGGCTTCACAATCCTGTATCCTCACATTTTTATGACACTGTTTAACAAAAACTAGAGGAGTCTGTTTGTAAAAGTTTTATTGGTTATTGGAATTTTTAGTTTCTTAAAATTTATCCGCATCAGTGACAGAGTGTTCATATCGGTCAGGCCCTAGTCGTGAGCTGGGCTTATCTGGCCAGATGGTTGGGTTGGGGCTCTGGAGGACTGCAGGAGTAGCAGGGTGTCTGCAGTCTACAAAGCTAGACACACATACTCACCTACACACAAACATTTTCCCTCTTTGTCAGACGTGGGACTGGAGGAGCACAGGTTAAAAAGGAGCGTCTCTGTTTTTTGCACATGTGTGAGAATAAAAAAACACTGTATAAAATTTATTTAATGATTAAACACATTTCTGTTTAATCATGTAGAGTCAGCATATACAGGTTACCTCAACATGAAATATTAAATCGAAATTACACATTTTTCATAATTAAATAATAAAGATGTAAACGGGGTCATTCAGTGTGGTTTAATGTGAAATTATCTATTCCAGAGAAATTTACCTAGTCAGAATTGTTTGCAGCAGTGGTGATGGGAACCAGACATCCAAAGTATTCAGTGCTTCACAAAGCTCAGTCACAGAAACTACATGAAATAGGAATGAATACATTGTTAAGATATTGTTTAACAACAGTTTTGAGATTTGGTTTTGACCTGAAAGGTGTTTTTCAAAGTCCATTCATAGCGGAGAGGCACATGTTCGGTTGTGAGGTGAATAGTGCCTAATTATTATTATTATGCACATCACAGTTTTATTTTTATTAATTGAATTATTTATACTTTATTTATACTTTATTTATTCAGTTGACTTGTGTGCTTTTCTTTCCAGCTGTAGTGAGGTACTTAGGCCAAGGTGTACACGTGGCTCTTAACCTAATTTTATCCCTGATTCTCAGTCTGGCAGAGCTCATGCTCGTTGCCTCTAGTCTGCAGATTTTGGGCAAGTCGGAGTCGACAGTTGGGAGAGAAAATCGAGTAGAGCGCGAGGGGCGCAGACATTTTGCCCTCCAATTGCGTTTCACTCCGTCAGAGTATATCAAACTTCTTTGCTTTTTTTGAGCTGACTTAAGCATGATCTAGTAATGAATACTGGTCAGTGACTCAATCTGAATGGACTCTTCCAAAAGCTAATGAAAACAGAGTGTGAAAGATGAAAATACACAATGTAAAAAAAGAAAAATGGTACAGACATTCATGTCACGGTCAGTGGTTGAAATTGAATAGGAAAGCTTGTTAAACTTAGCATGACTTCTGTTTGCGAGAAAAGTCTCACCCTTCAGTAAAATGAGCCAGTCAGCTTGCTGCGTAAAAGCCCCTCTCTTTGTGGAGATATGCACATGCATAGCAGCCAGAACAAGCTAAAAATCACATTTTGTGTGTTATTTGAGCCAAATGCTACAAACTATTTATGCTGTTTTTGTCAAATTTTATCTCGGATTTTAAATATGCTTTCGAAACAGTAATTTTGCTTTTAGTTTTGTCGTTTTAGGCCTCTTCCCATTCAAAGAGACAGGAGCCTAGTCTTGTATGGCTGGAAATAACTGCCTGGTGGCGTTGCCAAGATGGCCGTGGAGTGGAGAGACTTTTCTATAAAGGCTTTGGTTTGGTTCAGTTCAGCAACAACTTAAAAGCTGTGTGCTGTGTAATCCCAAGTCGTTTAATGTGTGATCCCAAATATTTCAGTCTCCTTAAACAATCTGCAGAAACCAGTCAGATAGTGTGAGATTCTCAGTCTGTTTATAATCTGTTAAGACTTTAAAAGTCATGTCGTGTAACCAAGGCTTTACTCAGACTCTGCATGCCTGATCATATTGCGCTCATGCAAAGTTAATGATGTTTGTCTCATGGGTGTGGGAGAGCGAGAGAGTTAGAGGCGTTTTCACGGCAGGACTGTAGCACTGAATGCTGTACCGAGGGATGAAGTGTGACAATGTGTGAATGACTGCGTCTGTTTGGATTTTTGCATGCTGCCGCTGTGTTTGCATATACTGTGCTGGGTTACATTTCCATTGCTCAGCATCGGCCCTTCGCAGTCGCTAACTGTAGATATGGTTACATGTTAAAGCTCACAGTGTGTTATTAGCGTTCAGTGTTCCTTATGCAGTGTGTACAAAATTTCTTATGCAATGTATGCAAAGGAGTTCAATTGAAGGCCAGTTCAACACACATTTGCATAAGCAGTGCACTGACTGCTCTGTAAGCTGTGTAGCCTAGCACCACTTTCATAGGTCAAATTGTCTATCCCAGTCCTTTAAAGACAAAGTTCAGCAAATAATCACAATTTCATGATTTTACCTGATCAGCATCTGTAGTATTACGTGCAAAAGTTTGTGCACCCCCCATTAATTAGCCAGCGTGTGATCGCACGCTAACCTTACACTAGCCATCTGTAGCCTTAGTGTACTAGTAGGCTAAATGAACTGGCCCCTCACCCCATCTGCACTTTGGCCCTGTAGTTCCTCGTCCTGACCTCCAAGCAAATCATGCACTTTCATTTCTTTGATTTCTTGAGTCTTGTTTAAGTAACTTTCTGTTTTCTATCATCTACCCCCTTCCTCCTCGGAGGTTAGGGAACCAGCCTTGTGACCGGAAGGTCGCCGGTTCTATCCCCTCAGCTGACAGTATATGACTGAAGTGCCCTTGAGCAAGGCACCTAACCCCCAGTTGCTCCCCGGGGGCTGTGGATAGGGTTGCCCACCGCTCCTGGCAAGTGTGCTCACTGCCCCCTAGTGTGTGTGTTCACTAGTGTGCATGTTTGTGAGTGTTTCACTGCATGGATGGGTTAAATGTGGAGGTCTAGTTCCTCTGTGTGCAAGCACAGTAGGCTAATGGTTCTGGTTCCTTACTCTTTTTTGGGTTTTCTTCATCTCTGTCTATCTAGCCTTCACAGTTTAACTCCTCTGGTTTTTATCGTTATGCTTTGTTCTGGAAGTGGCAGCTTTTGCGTGATTGGCCAATGGCCACACACTGAGAATTCAGTAAGCCATTAGCGTGTCTAGAAATGAGCACTTTAGTATTCACCCAGAACATGCTGTTTGTCTCGGGTGGTCTCCATTCATTTTTTATAAAGCTACACTAGAAACGACAATGCATTTATCTCTCACTCTCACAGTGGCCCACATACAAAGCAGCTCACCAGAAATTGTCTCAGTCCTCACAATGATGTTATGTTGTACATGCACCCACATGCACATGGCTGGACTTCTAGAGGATGTGGTTTTTGGGGTTATTTTATTAGAGTTCTTGGCCTTCAAAATTAGGTGCATCATTATGCTCATAGTGCACATACATATGTACATATGTGCAGTGCGAATGGCGCCAGCATCAACAGATTAACATTACCATATGAACAAAAGGCACGTATTTAGGCACTCCTTATAAACACGACTTTGTGAATAATATTTCACCTTAGATTAGCTGGATTATGGAAGAGATTATGTGCATAATAGATATCCAAACCATATGTAATACACAAACATATTATCTGTAAAAGGATGCAGACTTCTGGGGTATTATTAGGGTTATTTTGGAAGTCCAGTGTTTTTTCTGTTCACAATTATACTATTTCTTTATATTGTGCTTCTTGGTCAAATGTGTTTACATTCTGAAAAAAAAAAATCATAGATGTGTTAGAAATGTGGAAAAGTAAAATCTACATTTGAGAAAAAAATGTTTTGAAAGCTTAACCAAAAGATTACATTTAAAAAATGAAACAAGCTGAACAATCTGATATGAAGAAATACATTAGGCAATGAAGTAACCTATTGTAGAAATCTCTTAACATGAAACTAGTTGTTTACTGTGTTGTGTTTGTGCCTAGTTAAACTTTTAGCTAAGTTTAGAAAGTTTAGAGGAGTTAAACTCCGTATTTAAGGTGTGATTTAGAACCTGAGGAGATAAACTTTAAAGATTCAACAAAAAAACTAATTTCATCACAGCTTTGGTTGTATGATTGTGTGCATGAATTAAATTAGAGCTCAACTGTGTGTCCATGATGTGTCCAAACAGGCTCTACATGAGCTGGCGTGGAATGACCCCTGTGTGAAATTACTTAACTGCTCGATGTTTTTTGAAGCTAGTGTAAGATTATTTTGCACAATATTTTGATATATATAAGCTTCCATTGCTCGTTAGCTACATTAGCTACAAATGCCTTTAAGGGCATAGTATAGTAACTGAGTGCTGAACTGTCTTCAGGCTCAAAGCTCCTTTTCCTCCTCAGGTGGAATATTTAGCTCTGTGTGCTTGCAGATGCTGGCAGATGCAGATAAATTTGGAGTGAATGGCTGTTGCCGACATCATTGTTTGATAAGACTCTTCTGTTTGGACGTGGCTCATTTTAAATTAAGATCTGGGATATCAAAAATACCTTACACTAAAATCAGGATCAGAAAATAGAGAAGTGGTCATTTCTGCGAGAGTTGTGGCTTTTCCTTTGTAGTTTATAGGTTTAATATTTTCCTCTTGAAGGTTTTCACTTTTGTCTGAGGGACATTTGAATAAGCTGTTCAGTTTGTTTTTGGTTGAACTTGTTTTACTTTTTTCCCCTGTGCACAGACGTTCGAGCCTGATGACCTGTTCCAGGGCCAAAACTTCACCAAGGTGCTGAATTCCTTGGTAGCACTCAACAAGGCAACTGCGGGTAAGGGAGGAGATGTGGGTGTGTGTTTCTGTACAAATTTGACTTGTAATAATAAAAGTTAGCAAAACATTATAAGACTGTATCTCAAAATTAAATGAACTGAGCATTACAAGTTTATTTACAGTCTGATCTTGTGTTTTAAATATAAAGTGTGGCTCTTAACTTCTGGCTGAGTGAGTGAGAGAGAATTTTCTGATGTGGCTCAATCACTCCTAGCAAACTACAGAATCCAGCACTCTCTACAACCCAATAGAGGTGCAAATTGGTAGCTATAAGCATCCTAATGTAGTGATTTATTTGTTTTGCTCACTTTTTTATCTTTACATTCATATTGATCACTTTTAGGCATATGGATTGTGTTAAAGAGAACTGTAGAAACCATTCTAAATCATTTTAGTGTCTAGTATAATAGGCTGTTATAACAGCAGCCAGTAGCATAACTTAACACAGAAAACTTTATTAGTATTTTAATAAGAATTTTTAAGCTGTTAAAGTTTGATTTAAAATTCCAAGAAACAAGATATCTGAGTGGAACTTAACTGATTTTACACTAAATCCTTAATGTTTTTATTTAGTTATATTGAGAATTTGTTGCTCCTGTCTCTGTATGTGTAGACATCGGTGTAGGAAGTGACTCTGTATGTATGCGACAGTCCTCCTCTCTGCGGATCAAATCTTTTGACTCTCTCAACACTCAGCCCTCCCACAGAAGATCATCCAAAATACTACACAATCAGTACCGCAGTCTGGTGAGTACTGAAATTAATAACAAATAAAAAAAAATAAAACTGTACCATTGCTGGATCAACTCAAAGGTCAAACTTAAGTACTAACTTAGGACTGCTTAGTAGGAGTGCTGAAATCACTACTACATAAGCTAACTGTGTATGTATGTATATATGTATGTAACTGAACTAGTATTGCAGTTTGGGGCACAGTTTTTAGTACTGGTTTAAAGATGTGTTACCATTTTTAATTTGTTTTGTGAAATCTGAAATACTGGTTTGGCAAACTAATTTCCTTTTAGTTGTTATTTTTAAAATTAGTCATAATCTTTAAAGGGCCCATTCCTACATTCATCTTATATTTTATTTTTCTCCCTAATGTCCACTTATAACATTTGTGTGTGTTTGTATCAAAAAATTTTTCAGCCTCTTTTCGTCCCTTAGAATTAGTGGACTTGTAGACTGGATGAAGCTTCGTTTCTGTATGTAGACTGTACAGACTGTGGGGTGAATAGTGTGTTTGTTTAGCACTGTTTGCATACTACATCAAACTTTTTAATTTTACAAAAGTGAGGAAAGTTTTCTTTGGTGTGGACTTTTTAACTAATAGTTGGCTTAGCTATTTGGGGAGGTTTGACTGTGAGAACGAAAAATACAACCAACAGCCTGCTCCTAACACTAGATTCAAATCTGCATATTTATAGATATTGATGTCTCTCAAATAAAACACCAATATTAAAGTTACTTGTTTTATGTAGCAATGACCAGGCACCTCTAACATTTAGAAGATGTTCTTATATTCTTGTTAACTTGTTTACTTCATTGCTTGAGCCTTATTAGAAATGTGGTTAATTTATCCCATCTTTCTCTATCTTCCTCTCTCAGGACATGTCTGAGAACAGTTCAGCTCAGTTGTTGGTGAAGGCACGGTTTAATTTCCAGCAGACCAATGAGGACGAGTTATGCTTCAACAAGGGCGACATCATCCAGGTGACGCGGCAGGAAGACGGCGGCTGGTGGGAAGGATCGCTCAACGGCAAGACTGGCTGGTTCCCTAGCAACTATGTCAGGGAGGTCAAAGGAAGTGGTGAGTGTTTTGGCCTGAGAAAAAACTGTATGATGCCTTTGAAAGTCCAGCTGGCTGTTGAGAAATTCTGACTGGATCCAAATCCACTCCCTACTTGCTTTGTAGTGCACTATGTAAAACTGTAGCTAATGGCTATTGAACCCTCAAGACAACTACAGAATTATTTTGCGCACTGCGTGAAAATGAGATAAAGTCAATGTACTAAACAGTCCACACATGGAGTAAGTGAGATTTTTACACTGCATTTTGATTGTTTTTGAAAACAAGTTAGCAACCCCATTACTAATGTTTAGTGAAGCCTTCCCTAGCAAGAATATCAGCACTGATCTGCTTTCTGTAATGCTTAATAAGGTGTAGCTCCATTGGGCATATATTGTGGCGGGTCTCACAGGTCCTGCAGGAATTTGCAGGAGTGCAGACCTCTAGTTCCAGTGAAATTGTTCAGTGTTCAGGTGCTGCATTTTATGGCCTGCTATTAGGAAAGGCTGCTTTTGTTTAATAACAGTTCAATAAAGCATGTGGTCATGACGGTGGCATCTCGCAGTGCATTCTAAAATTTTAAAAACCCCAAACTTAACTACACTGTGCTGTTCTAAAACTGTAACCTTTGGGTTCCTTTCTGCCTTTCTCACCATCCTCCTCAGTGTACGTGTCAGTATACTCCTGTATCCTCTTCCTGGCAAATTTTCGAGTGATTCAACTGTTTTCAAACTTTTGTATCATCACCCTGAGTGTGCTTAAGGTTAACTTTAAATGATTACATTTTTTCATAACAATTTCCTAATCTGTGCACGTCCACAACCTTTTGAGTTGACAGTTCTTTGCTTTTACCCATGTTGATAGATGACAAAGGGATTTTACATGTGTGTAGCCTCCTAGTTATACACTTGAGAAACAGGAAATGGTCATAGACAACAGTGGAGTTCCTGAAGACGAGTAGCAGTAAAAAGAGAGACCCCCCCACCGCCTACCCAAAAAAGCAATTCTATTGGTTTTATTTAAAATATTTTTAGTGCCGCCAAGAATTTTGGCCCATATGTTTTTGAAAGAATATACAAAATAAAACAAAACTACTTTAGGAATGATTTCAATTAGATAAAGGGGAAACAATTCCTCCAAACGTTTTTGAGGAACGTATAAAACATTTATGTGTGTTGTTTATTTTATGTGATTGATTTGCCTAATTTCTTGAGTGGTGCCAAATTATGGGGGTGACTGTAACGTAAGTGCGCATTACATTGTATGAACATTTCGAAAAGGTCCATAATTACTCAGAATAACTGCTTACAGTAACGTATATAGAAGTTAAGAACTTTTTTCTTTCTCCTATATAATCGCAGCATTTCTCAGAGATGATGCTTCATTCAGCGGAGTTGATATTTATATAAAGACCCAATCAATAATCACGGAATGATCACCAATCACCAATAATCACCCTCGAGACTGCTCTGAGTTGAATAATTTAGTAATAGTACATGGTTAACTTACCTGTATGTCGTTGTAGACATACTGTCATTATTTTAGTTTAAAATTTTTGCTGTTCATTCTACTAAAATTTGAATTGCCTGTCATCACAATTCCTGACTGACCCATTAAAGGCTAAAAGATGTTAAGAGGATCTTTATTTTAGAGGTCCTGAAATCCATCCCCTGACACCAGTAAAATATTGCAGGGTTTGATGAAACCCCATCTGATGTGGCTTTTATGAAACAAGCCTTGTAAATCTCCCTCTGAGCGAAGTGCAGGCCATTAAAAGGCCGATTAAAGCTTAAATAGATTAAAGCTTATGTGGTAAGGGAAGCACGGTCAGTGTGGAGCTTATAGAGGCTCTATGCTGTCTTAAACCAATAGGAAAAGGCTTATAGTAAAGGAACACTTCACCTAAGAGTGATTTAAAAGCTGGAGGAAGACAGCATGATTTGTTTGAACAGTGCTAACGGCCTTTTGCTAACATTCATTTGTTATTACCAGCATTATTTTTGGGGGGGAAATTCTTCTTTAAAGAGAATAAACAATAGAGTTCTGTATTATATTATGTCTGTTCCAGCTTCTACTGTACAAAAACATATGTTTGTTTATAGCCTATTTATTTGAATGCATTAATTGTTTGCATCAATTTATCAGACTTTTCTATTGAATGTTATGACTAGCCCCTCTATAAATGAACCCATCTATTGCACTCTTGCCACCTTCAGCTAATTTGTTTCCAAACAAAGTTGCTCAAAACAAAATTTATGTTTTTAATTTGTAGCAGAGATGGGAAGGTTTGAATGATTCACAATACAGGGCATCCAATCAGAACAGAGCTCATTTACATACATCGGTCTTGAAGGCACAGTAACAAAAACCAGCCTTTTTAATTATAAGGGTAAAGAGAGGTTAGAGAATAGTCATGTGAAAATGACTTATGAGTGTTTTTGGTATATAAAACCACACAAACTTTATAAGTGGGCCTCAAAAGAAAAAATAAAATGTGCACCACTAACTGATACAGATCATGACTGCATTTAGAAACTCATCCTAAGATACCCATCAACACTGCCGTAAGTCTGAGTGAATTCTGAAATGTCTGTGGATGTTTCTACATCAAATAAAATCTCACATATACAGTCTGCTTCTGGAAGCATTTGTGTTTCCCATGTTTTCATTCCCATTCCCTACATGCAGGGGGATCCAGTTCCGCATATCTGGCTGAACAAAGACAGCAGAGCATCAGGCAGGGCCGTGCCATATTTAGCGGAAGGGAAATAGTGCTTGCTAGCTGTGGCACTTCCTGCCTTTGTTTGTGGATGGGGTTTCCTTCCTGATCGGGCCGGGGTGCACAGGCTATGATGTCATCTGAAAGGATCCCCATTTAACTAAGATACATACAGAGAGGCATATGGAGATTTACAACTACATAGATATATAGGGAGCATAAGGATAGCACAGCTGAGAGCTTTAAAAAAATGAAAGGCGTGTTTCAAAAACTAACCCAACCATGTGGAGGCTGCACTTTAGCCTGAGTCTTGCTGTGAGTTGTTTATATGCTTCAAAACAGTGCTGTGCTAAAGGATGATTAAATATATAGGTGTGAGTTCTGTCATTTATACACACAACTAAATAATCAAGAACACTTTTGATAAAAAAAACAGCCTTGTATGTGAATCTCAAGAAGTATCTGTCTGATACTTCAGAGTGGGGGAATTTGCATTTGGCACTGCTGTGGTAATACAAGATGATGACCAAAAGCATGTTCTTCTTGCTATGGGAATACAAGAAGATGACCAAAAAGCATTTTCTTCTTGAACCTGTTGAACTATATGAAAAAATCTGTGACCTCTTACCCCACATTAAGTTGTGCTCTCCACTCCCTTACTGATACAACTTATGCAGAGCTACAGCATGGTAAATAGCTAATACATTTCTATATTTAAAGCAGAGCTGTGTAAGCGTTTTTGTTAAAACTGAAAGAAGTAGCATTAAAAATCATGCTAAAACATGTTGTCTGTGGCTGCATGGCTGCCCTGTAAAGCCTGAAATAATAATATAGAAGTCAGACATAAGGTCTGATTTTGCCTGGAGTTTTTCGGACCTCATCATATGTCTTTAACGTCACAGACAGGCACAAAAAGATGATCTGGTGTAACAAGAATAGTTGATTGACTTCTTAAATGTAGACCTCTAAATATTGAAGCTAATGCTGATAAAAGTTGACAGTTTATAGTTTTGCGCAAACTTCTGCTCATGCAAGTTTAAGCTTAAAGAGTGACTTTTGACAGCGTCTACTTTTTCCGTCACACTGGCTCGATTTTTAGTTCTCAAATGCAAAATCAACGTTAAAAGAAAGACACATCCTTCACCAAGTTTTGACTGAGTTCTCTTTGAATACTCCTTTGGTGTGTTCACAGTCATCAGATTCCTCCACTCGGGGAAGGGAACCCACGTTATAAAGTGTTCTTTTGCACATTGCTTGCAATTACACATTTCCACCAGAGGGGTCTCCAAATAACCAAAACTTACGTAATGCAGCTTCAAAAAGCCTAACAGTATGTTGACGTTGTATTCTATCTGTCCCTACCGAAGTATTCTCCCTAGTGGATAAAACTGCACATACTAAATTGGATTGGCAGAGTTGTGACCATAAGGTGTATGTTTTACCTCCGCCTCACTGTTAATCTTCCTTCAGAACATGTTAAATGAGCCCTTGTTTAAATAATTTAGTTACTTACTAAATTGTTTATTTTGATATATTTAACATTGGGAGAATCACTGCAGCTGTTCTTTTATGAAAAAGTCAGTGTGTTTTTGTTTTGTGTTCTCTTTTATCCTCCTGTCCACATTCTAAAGGAAATTCTCCTTCCACACGAGAAGCGTTTCATAATGCACCCCCACAGTGCTTTAAACAAGCACGTAGTCTTATGTTTTCCTGGTACCTTTGCTTTACTGAGCTAAAATAGATACACGCTGAGTGATAGAACCCTGTGAACTGAGCCACTCCTGCAGTTTAATGTTCTTTCTTCTTCAGTTTGGCCTTCAGGACAAGCTTACGTATAATTTTCAATCTAATAGAACAAAATGAGTCCAGATGCTGGCTGGAGTATGTGACCTATTTTTTTTTTCTCTTCTCCTTCTCTTTTCTTCACAGACAAGCCCATCTCCCCCAAGTCTGGGACGCTGAAGAGTCCGCCCAAAGGGTTCGAGACTAGCACTGTTAGCAAGACCTACTATAACTTGGTAAGAGCAATTGCGGATTTGAATTGGTGATATGGTGAGATGAGCATGCAGCAAATTAGGTCACAGTGGGCAGTGATGGGTAAATTATACAGATCCTGCTGAGGACTTTAGAGGAGGGTGTGTAAGAGACACAGACAAGGATTGAACACTGCCTGTCAAATGTTTGGGGACACTGTATTCTTTGGCATGCATATGCAGCTATGATAACTTAAAATGCTTGGTTACAGCTCAGTATAGGCTTAATATAGGCTGTCAAATGAATAAAATAATGTACCATGATGATCACAATATTTTGTACAGGTAATTGTGATCAGTAACATTTGGTTTATGTGTTCAATAAAAACATTTTCTCCATTTTGAAGCAACGAGTTTTATTATATAATGAACTAGGCATGATAATCGTGATTTTCATGGAGTGAATGCAGTTTCCAGTTGTAATTATCAACAGTCGGTAAAAGCAAAAGTAGCTGCATGTGAACCTAAACGTAGCTTTAAGAAAAAGTCTCAAATCCGTATTTTCCATAGAATTTTTTCCACTTATTTCAGGACCATGCAAATGTTTTAGACACCTGAGCAAATTGCATTTAAAAAGCTATTTAATTGGATAGTAAGTGTTACATTGCTCAGCAAAGCACTAATATTAGAATATTTACAAATAATATTAATATAATAAGTAGTGATATTGTATATGGCAGTGTGTTTGTTCATTTCCAAATCTCTCCTAGTGGCCACCCAATATTGATCATCATGCATCATTCATCACATGTTTTTCTGAAAAAGCTCTTTTTTACTGCATCAATGTTTGTGTGCATGTAATCTAATGTTATGTAGTGTTTCTTATCAGCAGAAACACATTTACTGCTCAGATCATTTTAACAGTTTTATCAGATGCCTTAGACCATAAAACCAGGGTCAAACCGTGAACAGGCATTTATAGCAGTTAAATAAAAATTACTGGTATCAATAATTTATTGTGTTAACACATGGCAAGACCTTAACACCCTTCGAATTAATAAAATCATTTTACAAAAAGATACATGCACCGCTGTATTGAAAACATTTTGAAATGCTAGATGTCCTCAGACTATTGAGGCAGTGCACATTTGCCTTTCTCTCACATAAAACACACACCCACACTACAGACCTTCATTTAAGTCCCATATACTAAACAAATACCATATACAATACTAAAAAGATTTTATATGTTTGGTGTGTGTGTATGTAAGTAAATATTTCTCCTCGGAATGACTCTCGGTACAGTCTGTGCACTCGACTATGATCCCCTAAATGTTTTGACAAGGTACAACAATATAGGTCACTGCTCTCTTCAACTGCTGGAAGCACATCTAAATGGAAAATAAGCATCAACTCCATTAGTCTGTAGATCTGAGTTTATATAGACACTGTGTCACTGTAGATGTAATGGAAACCATTGGGTAAGTGTTCCAAGAACAGTACCTTACACATCTCATGCTTATTGGTCCATTTTAACTTCTGGCTAGTGTTGAATGTTAACGCACTTCACAATTCAGGTAGATTTCGATTCAGGGTGCCAAGTGATTATAAAATGATTCTTAATCATTCTTAATAATTTTTGATTTCTATAGCCTAAACAAAAATTATTTATTTTCTGAATATCACATATTAAATTCTGTAATACTGAGTAACTCAACCTTTTTAAATGAGATTACTCACATTTGTCTTCTTTGCTCAAGTTTGACTTACTGAAAATATTATGCAGTATTATGCTCCACCAACCTGGGATGCGCCAAAGTAGGCCTGGGCAGTATGATGATGTTAATCGTTATTGTGCTAAATTATGTCACAATATGTCATATGTGTCTGAGTATATCGTATAACGTGAAAACCTTTAGCCAAATCACCCAGCTCTACACCAAAGTATCCAGCTTTATAAAGTCTCTGAGTGTGAGTGAGTTAATTCTACAGTAGAGGAACTGCAGAGCCTGTGTAAAAGTCTGATTTTGAGCTTTTGTGAATTGATTGATTCAAAATATTTTGGGAGAATCACGATGCATGTAAGAATTGATTTTTTTCCCAGTGCCATGATTTTTTAAAATATAATGTTTCACATACTGCTCAGAAAAGCATACTGTTTATCACAATAACAAACAAAATTTTTCACAGTAATTATTAAAATATCGTCATTTTGCCCACCTCCAAAGTATCATGCTATGTATTTTTTGTGAAATTTGCTAAGTTGATTTGATAAGACAAAAAAGCACCAGTAATGCTACATTATAAAAATACAATAAAAAACTATGACGATAATGTTTTTTGTTCATCACTTCACATCCTCCACTGCACTAAATCCCTTTAAATTTAGGACTAATTATGCTCTCTTTGTAATGTAACATGCAGTTGTTTAGTGATTTTTAAGTACTGACAAGATCCAGGATATTTTCAGAAAAGCATATTGTGATGTCAAGTAACAAAACTAAACACAGTAATGATAAATATTTGCCATGTCTACAGTGGATAAATTGCAAAACTGTGTGTTGAATCTGGAATAATGCTTGATTTATAGCTGTGGATCAGACAGCCAAGTTGATGTTTGTGTGTATCCAAAATGTGCAGTTAATCTGGCTTTGGCAAACTGTTCAGAGAAACAGTGCTTGCATGGCATTTTCTGCATTTCATTGCACTATTTTAGTTTATCCTCTCCCCTGCATGCTTAATAATGCAGCTCTGTATGTGTGTGGGGTGGGGGGAGGGCTCAGTGTAAGTTTGGGTTCATGGCCCACTGCCCTGATGAACTCTCTTGACTTCAGTCACTCACTTCAGAGTGAAGGACTGAGGCTAAGGTTGAGTTGTTTTTATACTGGCTGTAGGTGGTCTCTGGGATATTATTGTGTACTTGTTTATCAGATGTGGATGTTGTGTGTGTCCTCGCGTCTCGTGTGTGTAATGAGGTTTTCAATTGTTCTCTGTTTGTCTGAGTGTGGTGTGGTAATGTAGGTCATTGTTTCCATCTCACTGACCGTTAGGACAGCTGTGCCTGAGGTCTTTGGCTGTCTGGCTTGTCTGTGTGTATGTGCGTGGGGTGCGAGTCTGGTTTTATTTCTTAGTTAGAGTGTATAGTGACAGTCCAACCCTGACAGCTCTGACCTGACCATGATCCTGTTTGAGTGTTTGGCTGAAAATGGCCCGAAAAAAAAAATCCCTATCAATATTATGTAATATTGATGATTATGATACACATTTTACCTCAACCTTGCAGCCTTTTTGTTCTCCATACCAGAATCCGTATCAGAGCAGCATAATCACTTTATTGAAAGTACATCAAACATTCATTATCAATATTGAAAAGGTTTGATTTCATTTAGGCCTCTGCCCAGTGATGGTAACCATGTTACCATGGTAACACCCCCCCCATCCTGAGGCAGACTTTGCCCCATTACAAGCAATAATGCCCCACATGATGCGTGAGAGCTCTCCATTGACAGGTACAGGATGTGGGAAGCGAAGTTGAAAGTGAATACATACTTGTATGGTGTACATTTAAGGACATTTATCAGGTTTCACATATCAGTCAAAACTGTTCCTGGAGGGGAGAAACAGCTCAGGTCCTGGGGAAAACAGTCTTATGTCAGCTCTCGTATAGTTGGACATCAGGTGAATTGGCCTTGGACAAAATGCATCAGGCTAAGTGGCCACAGACAAAATGACCTGGGATGTTAAAGTGTTCGCAATTCTGTTTTTTCATACAGGATTAATTACAGTTTTCTGACCAAATTAAAGATGAAAATTTACTGCAGTTTGAACTGTATAATTAGTATGTTCTTTCATAGAGATCAAGCTTCAGCTCATATGCTGGCACTGTATTTGCTTTCACATTCACTTCAATGTTAGGAACTGTCTCAAAATCACTGGAAAAAGTACTTTTGTGAAAATGCATCCCACCCCCAGCCTCCTAGTCCTGGTTTAACCCTTTTACTGTTGTAGTTTTCCACACAGTTACCTGAATAGGATGAATACGTTACGGAGACAGGCCTAATTTCTATAATGATGGTTATCGTTTTATCCCCCAGACCTAGCTTGTCAGGTTTGATTGTGTTTGTGGAGTGTGTGGGTGTTCATAATCATCACTGAGAAGTAGTGAGAGGTCAAAGTGATGCTTTACGTGGAAACCAGTGATAAACAGGTTATTGTGTAACCTATAGCTCCGAGACATATTTACTTTAATTTGGTTAGCAGGACAAAGATATTTATTTACATGATGCAATAATGTATTTCGTCCGTTTATTTAAACAATGGGCATTGTTTCCTTTTTTTATTGCTATTTTAGTGCTTGATTGTTTTATTTCTTAAAAAAATACAGCTGTGAACGTGAATGGCTCCGAAACAGTAATCGGATGTAAAATCATAATTATGAATGAAGACAGTTTATGTAACACCAATATAATTTTGATTGTGTAAATCATGAACATGTGGCAGTGTGTTTGTTAAAGACTATTACCTTTATTGCTGTCAGCTAGAGGATCACATCCTGTTTTAGGAGTCATTCATGATTAATTCCAAAGTCATTCCAAAGGATTCACAAACTTTTCACAACTGTGAGCACAGGAGTAGCAGAGCTGTCTTCTGTTGTTGCATAATTCATCTTAAAAGGAAATTCCTGACTCTTACATCTCTGCTACTGTTTTTGAGGATGAAACGACTTAAAAGCGAGACATTATTAGCCTGAAAGTCTCTCTCCAGTCTTCTTTGCTTCTAATGTGGGTGTGTATAGAAGTTAGAGAAGACAGAATTTTAGACTTTTTCCAGTATGATTGACCTCATTCTGTCGTTTCTGCCTCCCTCTTTCGCTCTCGGCTAAAGAAAAGAGGATAGCTCCCTTCACTCTTTGTTGTAATTGCTTCAGAGGTAATAGCTTCTATGGACTGTGTCCCTAAGTGACCTGTCAATCAAAGAGACTAATCTTAGTCAGGCTTTGTTTTGGGTGACTGTTTGCCTTACATGTGCTATTTGTACAGTTTTTGTGGGGTAGTTATTTCATGCTTAATGCATGCACAGATTTCAAGAAATATATTTAGGTGTGGTCATGCCAAAGTCAGACCACCAGTAATTAATTAGTCTGACTGCTAAATTTATCTTCAGGCCAAAATAAACCTGAGTTGCCACCAGTATATCGCTGTTGTCAGAAGAAGACCTCGTATCTCCAAAATGATAACTTCACAGGAGTAGGAAAAAGCCTACTTTACTTTTAATGTTAGTCAGTGGAACCAGACATTTTTCCAAGTAATTTTGGGTTGTTTCTTTTGGTGAATTCATCATGAAATTTACATTTACATTTACAATGTGAAGGACAGCAGGCATTTTCAAATTAGGAGAAAAAAAAGAAAAACGACAAAAATGGAAATACAAGGTTTTCTTCTGACAGCAGCGATATGATGAGATGTTGTTATGTCCAAAGGTTTGTTTTGGACATTTGCTAATCTGATGGTTCAGTAACAGCCTTTAGTCTTATCGGAAGGCTTTACACCATGATGCAATATTGCTGTGAAATTTGATTGCATCCAGCCACAAGAGCATTAGTGAGTTCAGGTACTGATGTTGGATGATTAGTTCTGGATCGCAAACACAACTCCAACTCATCCCAGAGGTACTCCAGAGAAGGCTGTTCCACTGTTCCACAGTCCAATGCTTGGTCAGTTCTTCTTTATGGAGATTATACAAGCTGTGAGTGCGCAGTTGAGCACTTGTGTCAGCAGTTGGTATACCTAAAGTGAAGTGAGCTGAATGCACTAAATAGGAGTGTCTGGATACTTCTGGTTATTTGTTATGTGTGGTTTTAAAGATATCCTCTTGTTCTTGTGTGTTTTCTACAGGTGATCCAGAACATCGTGCAGACGGAGACAGAATACTGTAAAGAATTACAGACTCTGCTCTCGACATACCTCAGACTACTGCAGCCCACTGGCAGGTACTGCCGATATACGTTATCAAATAAGCAGCTACACTGAATGCATGTTACAGTTCATTTAATAGATGAACTGCTATGTTTCTCTTACTACCTCTGTCTTTTTCTCTGTCTACTTTCTCTGTATCTCCCTCTCAGTCTGACAGTGGCAGATATTGCTTATATTCTGGGCAATCTAGAGGAGATCTGCTCCTTCCAGCAGACGCTGGTTCAGTCACTGGAAGAATGCACCAAGTAAGGCTTTACTTCTCTTTCCTTGACTTACTGAACTGATCTGAGACCAGTTTTGCCATTTTTTTATGACGGTTAACAGACCCGTATCTTGGAAAATGTAACTTTCATCACTTTTTTAAATAAAGGACTTTGAAGTGCCATGTAAACATTGCTAACGATTCAAAACATACTGTTCAGTTCTTGGTGAATACAGTCAGTGAATAAAAAACTAAGCTGCAAATTCATTGTTTCTGTAATGACCAAAAAACCAACACATTAACATGTATTTTCATCCTAAAACAATTTAGCCCTATACACTGAAGTTTTTAGGAGTGTTGCAGTCTAGGCTACTTTTTGAATGAGGCACAATACATTGCAGCCAATCGGAACAGAATTGATTCACTTGTGCACAGTAACAAAACGGCATTGTTTAATTCTATGCGATAAAGAGAGGTTGGAAAATGAATTTTGACTTGTTTTGTAACGTAGATTGTAAGTGGACCTCAAGGAAAAAATAAAGTTCAAGCAGAATGCAGGATATGGGCCTGTTAAGGTTATTTTGTTTGAGAGAACCTGTCCTACATCAGTTGCTCTATCATAAGCGAGCCACATGTGCTTCTACCTGTGAGGTTATGGCACCATCTAGTGGTGTTACTTTGTACTTCACCAAAAAACTTAACACTAGTAATTCAAGTTGTTGATTTTTGTTTGCTAATACTTGGGTATTTTAGCAGCATAGGATGAACATATGTATTTTTGACATAAAAAGATATTGGGATGATGCTGCAATATCAGTACTATACAGCACTTACTTGGTGTACTGAAGATCATACAGATGCTTTATTCATGTCTTTTGTTTTTTTTTGTGTGATTAGATTTCCAGAGAGCCAGCAGAGGATAGGAGGGTTCTTCCTTTCCCTGATGCCTCAGATGAAGAGCCTTTATGTAACTTACTGCTCCAACCATCCCCATGCTGTCAGTGTACTCACACAACACAGGTATGTATCTATATGGACATATTTACATATGTGTATAGATGGCTCTTGTTGCCTTTTGCAGTATTCATATTACATATTACATATTTGATCTTTTGATTATATGCAAGAGTTAAATTAGGATTAATGAGGTGGATAGCCATGGACAGCATGCCAATAGTGTGCAAACAAAATTGTTCAATTTGTTAGTTATATGTTAATCAGTATATCTAGCTATGTCTTTAGCTCTATTTAGCCAGTGTCTTTAACAACAGTCATTTGACGAAACAGCAGATTACACAAGCAAGCTATCTTGTCCATTCTAATGAAATAGCCCTACTGTAAGTTTGATTCACCTACTTCAATGGAAACAATTTAATGGCTGGCTATTTAAACTAAGCACTAGCTGCCCTTTGTAATAGAATGCTTTGGAATAACTTCAGATGTAGCGTTACAGCCGGAGTTTAAGGTTCCTTAGGTACTTAAAGGTTGACGTATAATGAACTAATCTATGTAGTAAGTAGTTACAGTAACAGTAGAAATTATTGTAAACAAACTTGTATGATTGTTAAAAATCAGCTGAATGTGAATAGTAGGATGTGCTACTTCACAAATATAGGGCTTAAAAGCAAGAATGATCTTTAGAATAACATTAAATGTGATGGGTCAGTTGCAAGACTAAAGCTGGCTAGGGATTATCTTTGCTCCAGATAGTTTTGTACATTTCACAAATATTGTTTTAGAGCAATACAGTACTGTACAAAAGTAAGAAACCTTTTATTAATTTATTATTAACATCCAGTTTTGAAAACTTTTTTCTTTCTTTTTACTTTTCCCTTCCCTATGCAGATGAATCATCTTGTATCTAATCTCCTCAGAAATCTGTTCTAAAAAATGATTGTACTGAATGGCTGTTTTGACTGAAAATTAAATTATGAATGGTGGTCTTTGGTTTTTGCACAGTACTGTAGGCCACTGGTTTTCAGCTCTACCTGCCGTTCACTTGAACCAAAGCACTGGTGTGCCTCATCCCAATATAATCCCTCGTAATATGTGCGCATGCTTAAAAGCTGCTGTCAGAAGCTTGAGCGAAGAGTGAGCAGTCATGGTGTTTTTATACTCGATGTGTGTTTACAGTGAGGAGCTGGGTGAATTCATGGAGAGTAAAGGTGCAAGTACTCCTGGTATTCTCACCCTCACCACCAGCCTGAGTAAACCCTTCATGAGACTGGACAAATACCCCACACTGCTCAAAGAACTGGAGAGGCACATGGAGGTACTGCTGTGTGTTTAAGCCTGAAACAAATAAGGATTATTTTAAGAATGCCTGCTCTAACCCCCAAGACTATGTCAATTGTAGTCAAGATGCTGTAAGTGGAAGTCTTTTTTTAAATGTGACATCACAGTGAAATTGAAAATTGAAGATTTCAGGATAATCTTGCAGACAGAAATCTGAAGTACACTCTTCAAATACACATCATTCATGGATGTTGGGGGTTTATTATCTCTTTCAAAAAGAATTAGCAGCCTGTGTTTTTTTGTAATATTTTTTTTGCTTGTGTGAGTCTGACTTCTTCTTTATTCTTCTCTGTCCTCTCCTCAGGAGTTTCACCCAGACCGTGCAGACATTCAGAAAAGCCTGACTACATTCAAAAACCTCTCTGTAAGTCCACTGCTTTGTATGCTTCTCTTTTTTATAATTTGAGATTTGGAAGTACGAAAGTCAACCTGAAATCAAAATTGACCTTTTTTCCTTGTTAGTTCACATCTGTTGTTGTATTAGGCACAATTTATTAAGACAAACTTCTTCTTTTTACATAATCACTGATCAATTTGTGTTATTTGAAGCATCTTTCAAGTTTTGTTTATGTTACCATGCAGCAGTGTTTTTTTTTTTAAGCCATTCATTTTAGAGGGTACTGTGAGGTAAGATAGTCCCCCCAAAAGTATGTTTCTCTAGAATTAACCATTTTGCATCAAACCACTGTGAATGACTTTTACATGTCAATGATTGACTTATGCAGAAAATTTTTAAAAAGTGGTGGTATTCCCCTTTAAGCCCTTTTGGACTTTCTGGACTGTTCAGTTTGTGTTTTAGTTTATGTTTAATTTGATCTGGAGACATGTTTTTTTATTGTTGCTGTATTTGAGTTTATCACTCTATCTGTGATGTGGTAAAATCCGTGGGACATCAAAGGACAATAACATACCGGTTCACTTTTATACGGGTACACCTCCCACCCCAGTAGTCTGTTTTGTACAGTGTATTAAGCCCTTTTGGACTATGTTTTGCTTGTGTGCCTGCAAAATCCTCCCCTTGGCACAAGTACATAAAATCCCTCGCTTCACTCTCTGTATTGTTCTCAGACTGTCTGTCACAGTTCAGCTCAACTTCCCCCCTCCCCTTTCTGAACACCTCTTATCATTCTGCTACAGAGAATAGACTGTCGGAAAGAGAGAACGACCAAGGCAGAGGGAGAGAAAGTGGACAGGGCACACTATTTCATTAGGACTGTCCACATACATCCCACCATTGTCCTCGTTTTTGTGTTCATTTGCCACGTTCTCTCTCTCTTTGTGCAGTCGCCTTATTGTCGGAGAATGAATTGTTGGAATAGGGGAGTTCAGAGGCTTTTGTCTTGTCCGTGCGGCTTCACAATGACTGTTGGGCAAAAGCCTCTGCCAGACTGGAGTAAAGAGGATTGTGGGACGTGGAATACAAATCAGAGAGAGAGGCAGAGAATACGGTGGAGAGCGCAGACTGAGAGGGCTTGCAGTGCAACCTATGGATTGTGTACACTACCTGTTTTTTTTTTATATATAAAACGAGTTGGTTGCATATTGGTATTATTGTTGTTATAACTTTAGTGTGTGCAACTTCACAGGTTTCAAATAATTAGTAGAAAGCTAGAAAGATGTTCAGTTCAATGGTTGAGATGTAAACAAAGTCATTCAGAGCGTTTTGATGGAAAATTGTACATTTGTAGAGAAGCTTGCCTACTTGGATTCTTTACTTTGGTGGTGACAGAGACCAAAAGTACTAATGTCTACAATGCAAATCTAGCCATATTAGTTACCATCCAAAATGACCAGTGAACCAACACATGTCTTCTGAGATTTTATATGTAATGTTGATAATAATAAAACAGTGGTAAAGAGAGTCTTTTTGCCTTACAGTACCCTGCATGTATCACTCTGCCATTAATGGCTTTTACAAAAACACATTATAGGCTGAAACTTTATCTCAAAACTTGTGAAACAATGTCTCAAGCATCAGGCAGCATATTTGTGACTGTTTGGGTAGCAGCTGTCAAGTGAGATATTAAATGCTTTGAATGTCTGGTTTCTATCAATGCCACTGTGAACAATTCTAACAGTTTCTCTTAAAAGGAGCCGTTTAGATCAAACTGCTCTGAATGACTTGTTGACATTCTATTCATTTAATGATGCATGAAAGTATTTAAAAGATCAGTAGAATTTTCTTTTAAATAAGCAAAAGAAGAAATTTTAGATATGTCGAGTGATGAGGCAGTTTAGCATCATCAATTTTTTTTTTTGTTGTTTTGAGAGGGGAGATTTTTTTTCCCAATTTTCCAATTCCACCCGCTAGTTAGGACTCTCCCAGTCACACAAAACCACAAGCGTTAGGAGGATGCATCTTTTTGAACTGTCGCTAAGGCAGAACACATTCGAAGGAAAGTGCCAGCCACCAGTTGTTATGTCAGCTAACAGACGCCTGTGCTGACTAGCACCACCTAGTGATGGGGAAACAGCTCTCTTGCACTCCCGGCCACGGATGGCTGTAGCATCACTAGGGATTGTTGTAATAAAATTCATATCCAGAAGGCTTCTTGTTTCTCACAAAATAATGTTGTAAAAAAAAATATATATTCAATCTACGTTGTATACACGCTTATTTTGTATAAAATAACAAAAAATATTAATATGACAGTTGATTCTAAACTTTTAAATGGTGTATGTATGTTTAACCTGTATGACTGTGTATTTTATGGCATCAGACTCACTGTCAGGAGTTGAGGAAAAAGAAAGAGCTGGAGCTGCAGATTCTGACTGAGCCGGTGCGTGGCTGGGAGGGAGAGGGCATTAAGACTCTGGGCTCTGTCATCTACATGTCTCAGGTCCTCATGCAGAACCACGGCAGCGAGGTGAGTTAAAAATAAGAGATCTGTTTCTTTAAATAACTGCTACACTAGTATGTCCAAAAGAGAACAGATCCCTGCTAATCAGGGAATTCAGCTACTTTAAGCTACTTTAATCTCCATAGAAAAGCATTACCAATAGAATGAGATGCTCTGGAGCAATCGCACCTGAGCCTAATGTCACTATGCCCAATGCAAGCATCGCCTAGAGGGGTATAAACATACCCTGCGTCGGGCAGAAGTGGAACTGCATTCTCTAGAGTTATGGAGCTCCAACCAGTAACTTTGGGATGAGTCGAAGTGGCGTTTGTGATCCAGAACTGGTCATCCAACATCAGTACCTGACCTCACTAATGATCTTGTGGCTGAATGCAGTCATTTCCAACATTTAGTGTAAAGCCGTTCAGAAGAGTATAGGCTGTTATTGCAGCAAACGTGGGATAAACTTCCTATTAATACCCTTTATTTCAGAAAAAATGCTGAATGAGGAGGTATCTAGAAACCTTAGGACATGTAGTGTATGATCAGTATATATTAGCAGTTATCACTTTCAGTCATGACATTAATATATTGTAATCATGCATCACAGCAAATATTTCTGATTCCTAAGCTTTAGAGTCAACCCCCCCAACACACACACACATGACATATATGTGACCATCAAATGATATTTGTTATGCTTTAGAGTGCTGTTTTGTGGTAGAATTGAAGCACTGGGGCCACACCTCACTGGAGAAATGAAAAAGCTGAGCTTTTAAAATATAGGTCAGTTCTGTTGATATGTTTTGAGGATACTGACATTTTGTTTGTTTTTTATTCTCCCCTCAGGAGAAGAACGAGCGTTACCTACTGCTCTTCCCTCATGTGCTACTTGTGCTCTCTGCCAGCCCTCGAATGAGCTGCTTCATCTACCAGGTGCTTTATTGTGGGTCTCTTGATCAGTAGGGGGGTCAGTGGGTTGGTTTCTGTTAGCACCCAACAAATCGAGGACTTAGAAGATGGGCCTAAAGGAGCTGAGTTCCTCATCCTCATCATTTTAACTAGAAAATATGGATACTGCCAAAGCTGTCCTCGATCTTTCAAAACAATCACAACGATGGCATTGACGGCTAAGTAATGCAATCAGTCAACAATACTGCATTAAGGAAAGCAAAAGTTTTTTTTTTCAATGGTAACGTGTAAAGACAGCATTGCACTGCTTAACTGTTTTTCCAGATTGTGGGAACTTAGCAGAGCTGTGCTAGTTCTTATAGGCTGTTTACCTAGTGAGTGTAGCTGACTGTGACGAATACAAAGTTCAGTACAACGTGAAAACTAAAAGAACATTGCAGTCTATATTGGTTCTCTAAACAACTATGTTTAATGTTGTGAAAGGTTAGCCTCTGATTAATTAGCCAATATTCGTAATGCTGTCAGATGTTTGAAACATCTGTTATAACTTGATGTTTTTCTTGTTTCTAAAAACTTAACAGTGCAGTAGGCTTTTTTATGTGGTTGTCATCCTCACTATAGCAACTCTAAGACATAATGCTTCCTAGCTGTCCCCCCAACATGTATAACAAGGCCTGTTTTAAAATTAAATTCTGGCAACAGCACTGGTGTTTGTTGTATTATGACTACAGAAACTCACATCATCATTTCTTTTGGTCTTTAGGGGAAGCTTCCTCTAACAGGGATGAATGTCAACAAGAGTGAAGATACAAGAAATGCTTTTGAAATATCAGGTGAGTGAATAACTGTACCAGTACTGTTAGATTAGCAGAAAAAATGTTATGCACTCGATTGTTACAGCATTGTTTTGTCCTGAACTACATACTTTGTGTGTGTGCCTTTATAGGGAGTATGATTGACAGGATACAGGTGATCTGTAATAACCAGGAGGATCTCCATGAGTGGGTGGAGCATCTTCACCGCCAGACTAAACGTACATCAACCAGCAGTTCTAAACCACAGTCGGTGCCATGCCATACGGTCAGTCTGTATTCTCACACGCAAATAGATACAAACAGATTTTCACTGTGGTTTCAAACCCAGTTTTCAAGGAAATTCTCAGCAATATAGCATTTTCTTTTTAAAATAAAAATGTGCATGGGAGTGGGGTTTCGATAGCAGTGTTCTGGAAACCACTGAGCCAGTAGTGCTGTTCATTTTAACCATTTTTCGTTTTGGAATATCTTTATTTTTGAACAAATCACATTCAATTATCCCAGTGAGAAAAGATTTCAAATCCATTTGAATGAAACATGAGAACATGGAAGGTTTCACATTTGTTTATTGTGTGCAGCTAGCGTAAGGGGTGGTCCACACTTCATCCTTTGGTTGATTTATCTTTGTGTTTTTGGCGTGTTGATTTAATACACTACCAGCTGACATGCATAATGATGGTTCACAACTTAAGTACTATTTATAAAGGATTAGGTTAATATGGAGAGTTTGGATATCCACTTGTTGTATGGATGAAATTGCATCTTATATTTGCTGCTTATGTGTTTCGTTCTTGTACCAGCTCCCCTCTCACCCAGTCACACCGTCCCGACACTCAGAGAGTCGAGGAACAAGTGGAGCTCCTGCCTATCACACGCTTCCACATCCCTCTTCACACGGCACCCCACACAGCACCATGATGTGGGGTCCTCTGGAGCCACCCAAAACCCAGAAACCCTGGAGCCTCAGCTGTCTCAGACCAGCACCTCCACTCAAACCTTCAGCTGCTCTATCCTATAAAGAGGTTTGCACATTGAAATGGCTGTTTCACTGATAATAACAGTTTCAGTGATATTAACAGACTTCTTAATGCACAACGCCTGTCAAAATATGGGGACGCTTAGCTTTTGGGACACTTAGCTTTTCAGAAACGTTTTTAATACAAATGAGCATGTTTTAATTGTCAATTTGCAGATTTATGAGGTTTGTTTTGAGCAGAACAATGTTGCTAAATGTTGGTAAATATTTAAAAATACTTGAAAATTATTTGTGACAGTACTACTTTGGGAATTCAGCTCCTGAGTATCTGTAGTGTATTCATTTCGTGTTTATAGTTATTGAATATTAGAACTGCTGTGATAAACAACTAGAATTAAGTGGTATAGCAGTTATTTATATGCTAGCCAGAGTGCTTTGTTTTGTGGAGATGCAGTTATTTATTTATTTTATTTTATTTTTTATAACCCAAAAGTGCATTACCACTCATGTTTGTTTTACGCAGGATCTCAGTAAGAGCCCCAAGAGTATGAAGAAGCTTCTGCACAAACGCAAACCTGAAAGGAAGCCATCAGACGAGGAATTTGCTGTGAGGAAAAGTAGGTTGATGATGTTGATGCTTTTCAGTTTTTTTTAGTTTGCAGAGGAAGTATAAAGTACTTAACTTGAAAATTCTGTATACAATGTTATGATATTGTAATTTTTAGATATGTCTGAAAGTTTATTATAAAAGAAATTCTTACAAAAGGATAATTTCGTGTCCGTTAAATTTCTCGTTTGATATTGGACAATATACTGTTTGTCTTCAGGCACTGCAGCCCTGGAGGAGGACGCGCAGATCCTCAAAGTAATTGAGGCTTACTGCACAAGTGCCAAGACACGACAAACGCTCAACTCAAGTAAGAATATGTCAGAAATACTTTGCAATAGAAAAACGAATAGGATTAGCTAAAGTAAGGTTAGTTTGTTTGCCTTTCTAATACTCCTGATTCTGTGTTTCACTCAGAAATGTGTCAAGGAAAACACGAAATGATTCTCATTGACCTAAATTCTAATTGGCTATTATGTTGCTTAGAAATGAAGAACAGATGAACCTCCGTCCTGCCTTGTTAATGAAAATGCACCTTCATTTGCAGAGATGTAATGCCCACTGGGGCATGTGGCACAGGTGGAATTCAAACCAAAATCCCAGCAAAAGTATAACTGCTCTAAATTTTGGCTGTGCTTTAATATGTGTACCAGCCTGTCATTTGACTTAGACGGTGACAGTGACTGTGATGACAGCAGGGAGCAGAAACTAGTGGGTCACTCTTTTTATGTACTAGCCCTCATTTGCCTCATCAGTAGAGATTTCCTTGTATTCCTGCTGCCATTACAGGAAATTACGCCGTCACTAGGAGTACCTCCGGAGCTGGCTGCAAGTACAAGTTCCAGGAACTGCCCGTAACGGCTGCTTTTCAGAGAATTGCAATTTACGTGCTTGATTTCTATGACTCAGCCTCTGCTTTTGCTAGAAATTGCAAAGTGGCTAGAAATAGCACAAATAATGACATCTTACTCATCAGTATGTTATCTTGAAAAGCATTTTTAAAATCAATTTAATTTGGGTCAAAATATCTCTTAAGTTGTTTTTTATGCATATTTTACACCATTTGTAAATGCTGCTATATATGCTGCTATAAATGCAACAATAAAACAAAAAGAAAAAAGGTCAGAATTTATAGATTTTTGTCCTTAACTACAATTTGAGCAAAATGAGCAAAGGAGACCACGCCATTGAATAGAAGTGATTCTTTTTTTTTAGGAGATATTTCTGAAGAGATCAGACATTTACATCTACTTGCAAAAGGAAGGGGACAGTCAAAGGAAAATAAGTGACAAAAACATCAGCTTCCAAAACTGCCTTTAAAAAGTGTATTAAAAGATGTAAAGAAAATGGGACTCCAGCAACCATTCAAGACCTGGTAGATGACCAAAACTGTCACGATCAGATAAACAGTACTTAAACTTTCATCTTTGAAAGAGAGAAGAAAATCAAGCTCCACTCTTCAGATCTGAAAAAATCCACAGGTGTTTTGTCCATCCTTCCACTGAGAGCTCAACACTGTGAGTGTGAAAGGATGTGTAGCTGTTAAGAAGCCCTTACTGTGAAAAGAAAACAGCCACAAAAGAAGAACATTTGCCAATCAAACAAAAAAATTTAGAATCACTGAATATGTATAGGATTACTTGGGTTGTGAGAAGCAGAAGAAAATGCAACCAACCTTTAAGACTGAAGTTTGGAGGTGTGGAAAATTATCCCTGCAGATTTCTTTGAAAAACTGAAAGCAAGTCACCTGAAAAGAATGGAAGCTGTAATAAAGACCAAGAGTGGACACAGCAAACACAAACATCTCTTACTATATTTAATATAGTTGTGTAATTTTCTGTTAAATATGTTTTCTGTTTTTTTTCCCTAAATTAATTCCCTGAACTTTTTTGACTGGACATTAAATAAATGAGAAGTTGTCTCTGACTTTTGCAAAGTTTTGTACTTAAGACTTCTTACAGTTATTCTGTTTGAATAAATGTGCCCAACATCTAAAATGAGCTGTTAATTATTTAAATTGTGTTTTAAAAGTGTGTTCGCATTTGCTGAGAAACTGCCATGTGTGTAACAATAATGGCAGAGGTCCAGAGTCTGAGTCTGCCATTACTATTGCTGCTTCTTTTTGACATATTTGGTGTGTTACTAATGCAAGGCCCTTTGAGTCACAACCGCTAGAGCCTGTGGTTTAATAAGTGAAAGCTTGTGTCTGCATAACTAAAGGACCTGCACTGTGCAGGGAATCAGTGTTGTTTTTCACTCTTTATCTTCCTTCTACTAATCTTACACTTGTCTTTATGCTCTTGTAACGGTATCAGGGCCTTATTGGCTGTTGCTGTCTGTAAACACTTTTGTTAACATCTCTGAATGTCTTCAAATCTGTTTTAACAACTTACTCTTTTTCTGTCTCCCTCTTTCCTTGTTTTCCTCCCTCTCCTCACTTTCTGTTCTCCATTTGTTACAATTCCACAAATCCTACAATTCTTTATTTATTTATTTAATTATTTTTATTTTGGCCCTTTTTGTTCTTGGTTAATTTAATCTGCCCTTCGTACCCCCTCCTTCTTCCATTTGATTGGTTTGACCCACCCCCCCCCCAAATTATTAGCTTGGCAAGGCACTGATTTGATGCATAATCATGTGCTGGCTGATGTTGACCAATCGTGTGTGGAGGCTATGGGTTGCCGTACCAGCATGTTACGCCTGGAACCCGCATCTGACCAATCAGAAGACTCGGACTATGACAGTATATGGACTGCTCATAGTTACAGAATGGGTTCCATCTCTCGTAAGAGCTGCTGCTCATATATATGTCTCTCCAATACTAGAGCACTGTACCCTGCTTTCTCCATTTTGTTTTCCCATTTGAGTAGCTGCCTTATTTAAGGGTGGGCGATATGGCAAAATTCTGTCACCACAATACTTGAAGGCATTTTCAGTATGGACGATATGTATCGTGGTATTTTTTTTTTTCTTCTGAGGTTTGCGAACATGTTGGAAGGGGCAAAAAACTGTAGTGCCACATTTCAGAAAGGCTGTGCAAAACCTTGAGGGCAATGAGTACAAATTCAGAGTTTGCCAAAAGAAAAACTTTTAATATAAGAAGACAATTGCATAATGAACTGACAGCCAATCAGCCATTTGTCACTATGCTGTTTATGCAGTTACTATATACTGGTTGTGTACAGGCTCATAGTTGGACTATAATCTGCTCAAAGTCTTTTTTTTATATGATGTGTAGTTGTTTGGTGTTCTAGAAGTACTAAAGATACCACGATATATTTATAACATATCGTCATGTTGCCTATCCCCAGCTTCATAAACAAATAGATTCTCTTATATTTGAGTTTTATTCACTGTAGACCTGATGTTAGACCATCTCTTTGGTTTGACTTCTCTAGTAATTTAACAGCTTGTTGCCTCTAGCCCCTCTTTATACCCCAGTTCATTGAATTTTAGCTGTGTGTGACTGTCAGTGGTCTGTTTAGTTTCTCAGTCTCTGTTTTTTGCAGTGCTTTCATTTTTCATGTTGTGTCTAGCAGAGCATGTGTGTGTATATTTGTTTATTAGGTGGGTCTGATATTCAGATTAATATGCGTAAGAGATGTCTTATCTTCTGCCCATTTTATTGTAAAGAATTTTTATTTCATAAAATGAGTGAGATCACAAGTGCAGTTTCTGTCTTGACAAAATGTATATAACAATGTTTTAGTTACATAGGCTAATCTTTCAGTGTTTTACTGTAAAAGTGCTGTATTTTAATTACATTTTTAATATGATGTTTGCTTTTTTGGTTTATTTTACGTGCTGATTATAGGTACAGAGCAGTTATTCGTTTATCATAGGTGTCCGCAGATGGACCCAGAGATAATTGACCTAATATGTTTTATTTACTCTCATTAACCTTATATTCTGTTTTTTATTGCAATGTAAAATATATGTCCTTATGAAAGGATCATAAACCATGACATATGTACTACTGAGGGTGAACACAGGCACTGTGTTTTTACATATTTCTTCCACCTTCCCCTGCATTGTTACCTGAAACACCTGTCGGTGTATTAATTACCTAAACAAATCTAAATCACTTGCCAACCACTGTGAAGCATCAGACAAATCTGTTTTTTGTGTTGGAACAGGTTCGAGAAAGGAGTCAGGGCCTCATATGCTTTTCCCTGAAGAGGAGAAGATTATTGTGGAAGAAACAAAGAGCAATGGGCAAACAGTGACTGAAGAAAGGTAGGCTTGATTTAATGAATCTTGAATAGAAAGATAGGAACTTGATTAAACCCCATAATACTTTTACAGTAGTTACTGCATTGACTGAATATTTGTTTATAATCACTCATCTTTTGTGTGAAAGGAGTCTGGTGGACACAGTGTATGCACTGAGGGATGAAGTTCAGGAACTCAAGCAGGTACCTCTTTATTTGTATTACTTGACATGTTATATTTGTAGTTGATATGATGTCAAGATATGTCATGAGTTCAAACAAACGTATCATGAGACAGTTCCAATATGTGAGTCTTCCGCAACTACAGTGGTTTCAAATAGTTATAAGGAAGCTGTTTTTTTTTAAAAGATCCAAATACTGTACATATTGTAAACTAGGCACCAAAAAGCACCTTTAAATGTATTATTCACTATTTCAGGTATTTTAGGTTTGTCGGTGGTTAAATGATTGAAGTGAGGCCCCTGCACATTTATTTAAGCTCGATTATCTGATGTTCTCCTTCTGTTGCCAGGACAACAAAAGGATGAAGAGGACTCTGGAGGAGGAACAGAAGGCAAGAAAAGAGCTGGAGAAGATAGTTAGGAGGGTATTAAAGAGCATGAATGACCCCTCTTGGGATGAGACCAATTTATGAAGTTGGTCAGCGATGATTAGCCGATATGCATGCAGCCCATGCCTGGCACTGAAAGGGGATGGAGGACACTGTAGAATGGAAACAACATCCTGTAATGCAGCATGTGTGATTGGTTGAAGAATCAGGCTTAACTTTTGACCAAAAAAAAAAGAAATTGAGCTGAGCCTGAAGTTGAAGATGATGGAGATGCTAAATGACTGAACTGGACCAGAGCTTTTCACTTCCAATCACTGGATTAAGGCCTGTTATAGACTCTCTTTAGAAGTTTACCAGTGCCAAATTTGCCAAATGGATAATTTAGCCTCTGAACTGTAAGTATATATCAAGGAACAGATATTGGAATAAGTGGCCAAAAATAGCTTTAGGTTATGCCTTAAAATTTCTTTTGGACACATTTTAACATGAAATATACTAATATATAATTATTGGTAAGTATGAAAAATTCTTCCCAAGAAACATTTCTTATTCTGGTGTTGCTGGTGTTGCTACAACTGCTAATACGGCTTCCACCACTTTTTCTTTCTGTATTTCCACTGAATACAGTGTGAATCCAGTAAGTACTTTTTTTGCAAATAGCTGATGTCACATGGTTCCCAGTTTGGTGGTGAGTTTGACTGGGAGTCTCAGGGATTACAAAGAAAAAATGGTAGCCACGTCACTGCCTGGATCCTTCACTACAGCCAGTCTTTAAGTTTAGAACTTGTAGGAATCTATAGCCAACACTGTGAAAGAGTGAAATAACTTATTTCCAGCAAGGAAACACAGCAATAGAGTACTGGAACCATTCAGAGGAAACAACTTTTTTTCTTTTGCTTTTTCTCAGCATTTATCTTGGTTATTTTTAATTACCTCATTTTCCTGCAACCTTTCTTAAAGTCAAACAGGTTGTACCATCGCAACACCAGGCAGTCATTGACTTATTTTATTGTTTATTGTTGATCTTTTTGTTTTTAATTTGTTATTCCACTAATGAATTTGTACAGATATTAATTTCTAGCCTGTATTGCAAAAGATCTGCAGGAATGTGCCTTTTTTGGGAAACGGTTTCCAGAAATTTCTTGGCATTTTTCTCTGCAATTCCGAGACCATTTGTAAGAAAACTTCATATGCAACCGATATTTGAATATGCAGTGCTACAGTGCTACTTAACTGACAACTCAAGAATCTTCCATGTTGTTTTATGTAATTTATGTATTTAAATGAAATGAAAAGCCGTCTAATGCAGAACATTGTCTATATTGGTTCTATTCAATTGTCTATGTGGGTACCATTTCCAGCAGACTCTTTTCTGTGCATCAGTTTCTTCTATCCTTTCTTTATTTCAGTCTTACTTCCTTTCATTTGTTCTCAGTCTCTTTCACTCTTCTCTAATCTGTATGATGATGTATGTGGATTAAACTAAATAAAACCTTGCTTATTAATTATTTATGCTTTAAGATGGTGTAACTGTATTCTTCACTAATGATGCAGCCACATTCATTCTTTTGATTTAATCAGAATTGTCCTTTTCTTTTCAACCAAGAACAACCTACACGAGCAGGCAAATCAACATCGGAGGGTTTCGTGGTCAGTTAATGTCCTTCCACTAAAGCACTGGGCACTGGTGATATTACACCATGTAGTTAATGACATCTAGACTATCTTTTGGCAAACCTTGTTCTTTTTGTTTTTGGGGCCAGTATTTATAACAGAATATTAGGTATGTTTCCAGCAGACAATACATCATCTCATCAATGAGCGGGAAAATGTTTTATTACGGTTATTTTTTGCCAGCTGACCTAGGGCCTTGCTGACCACGTCATGGATAGGCAAAAACTTCTGTTCAGTTCATGAAACCATGCTCCATTTTTTTCATTTATGAATAATTTATGATAAAAACTGAGCTTAGCAGCTTATATTTGTTGGGTGCCTCTGCAAGTGATTCTGTGCATTATATACAGCGGCAAGAAAAAGTACGTGAACCCTTTAGAATCACCTGTATTTATGTATAACGTCTTAAAATATGATCACGAAAATAATGCATTGTTCCTGTCCATATTGAATTCATCATTCAAACATTTATACTGCAGGATGGGAAAGTATGTGACCCCCTAGGCCAGGGGTTGACAACCCAAAAGAAGAGCCATTTTGTCCTTTCAACAAAATCTAACCACCTTGGGAGCCGCAACGTTTTATGTCTATTTTACTATCTTGGCTGCAAATATGTCTCAGGATGTGCTAATGCATTAGTATAGGCTAAAAAATAAATAATATAAATGAAAACACAGACTTACTTTGCTCTGCTTTAAGCTTTAGCTCAGCTATAGCCACTTTTCTCACATCTCTGGCAGGAAACCTTCCCAAAAGTGGAATAATTTCTTGTAAAATGTCTCTCAAGGTTCAACTTTTTACCAGGCTGAAGTCAGCTCCTCATTCACCAGCTGCTTGTTAGAATTTCCCTGCTCCATCTTAAATGGTGAGTCGTCAGAATGTAACTGCTGCACCATTTAAGGTGGAACAGGAGAATTCGAATGGGAAACTGACTTCATCTTTGTGAATTTTAGTGTTTGACAGTTTCTTGTTGCAGATTAAACGTATCAGGAAACCAGCTGGAGTGATTATAACTGCAAATAAGTCCATTCATCTACAAATTATTGATGTAAGTCTTAAATCTTTGTGTTTGCCTTTTTGTTAGCTACTAACTAGGCTTGACTGTTATCTGCTATGGTGACCAGCAGTCTGTGTGCCAATCTTCAGGGTGAATTAGCAGTTATACATTAACTCCAGCGTTTCAGACCATTTAGTGTTAGAACTACAGGACAGTAACAGCTGCATTTTGCCGACCCCTGGGCTAGGCTAATGACTTTAACAAAAACTAGATTAAAACTGGGTTAGAGGTACTTTGACCACTTAAGCATTTTGAGTTTGCTGTTCACAGGAAGCATCTGCTGATGTGAACCATGCCTCAAAATCAAGAGATCGCGGAAGACCTGCTATCAGTAATTGTTGATTTGCAAAAAGCTGGAAAGTGTCACTAAATAATCTCAAAAAGTTTAGGTATTAATCAGTCTACACAAATTGTCCATAAATAGAGATGATTTTAGTACTGTGTCTACTCTTCCGGGAAGTGGGCGCTCCGAAAGCACAATGAATGCTCAATGATGTAAAAAAAAGAACCATAAAAAAGGAGTAAAATATAAAAGCTTAGTCACTGACACTGGTTAACATCTCTGTTCATGAGGCTACCATACAAAAAAACATTGAACAGCCCTGGCGTTGAAAGAGAATTGTGTCCTGTCTACCTTTTTAAGAAAATTGTGTTACCTATTCATTCTCCTTGGTTTTCTGTGATTAGTGTATACTATATACACACATCTGTTGATTTGCTGAGATTGTCTTATACTCAAGCGTTGATCATTTTAGAATTGTGTGTTTAAGGATAGCCTGGTGACTCATAGATCCAAGGGCTCTCCATCTGTCTTAACTAAATGGCAGGTATGGTCATAAATAACAGGTCATTAAAGTACAAAGTGAAATTTTTTTTTATTCTTTTATTTTTTCTTTTTCTTTTATTCTATTTTTCTCTTATTTTAACCAATTTAATCATTTAATCATTTTGTCCATGATGATTTTTCTTCAACATCATGAAAGCTGTTTTTATCTGACAAATTCTTCGGCAAAGACGTTGCTGAATTTGCCACAACTTAATTTCTGCACCAATTCAATTCAACCCCTGTCTTATAGTAACCCTAGCAGGACACCTCAGAGGAAGTCACTGCTCTCCAAAAAAAACCCCATCACTCTGAGGTTTGTCAAAGAGCACCTAGACACTCAAACAGCTACTGGAAAAGTTTTTTTTGACTGATGAAACTAAGATGTGAAGTGAAGTATGCTGGAAGGAGTGTCATGATTCGGGGCTACTTTGCTGCCTCTGGGCCTGGACTGATCACCATCGAGGGGAAAAATGAATTCTCAAGTTTATCAAGGTGCGCTGAATCTCCGTAGAAGCTGAGAGATGCAGCAGGACATGGACCATAAACATTGCAGTAAATGTACAGAATGGCATAAATAAATAAATAAATAAATAAATAAATCCATCTTTTGGAGTGTCCCAGATCTTAACCCAACTGTGGAGTGACGTGGAGAGAGCTGTTCACACCAGACATCTAAAGAATATGGCTGAGCTGAAGCAGTTCTGTAAGGAAGAATAGTCCAATGTTCCTCTTGAACGTTGTACAGGTCGGATCTGCTGCTACCAGAAGCCCTTGCTTGAGGTTGTTACTGCTAAAGAAGCTTCAACCAGTTATTAAATACAGGAGTTCATTTACTTTTCCAACACTGTGAATGTTAAACTGGTGTGCTCAATAAAGACATGAAAGATTATAATAGTTTGTGTGTTATTAGCTTTAGCACTTCGTGTTGATCTGTACATGTGACTAAGATGAAGAGCAGATCATATTTTATGACCAATTGCATAAACTGCCTCCAAAGTGGACTTTTAGTTGTGAGGAACCCATAATGTAACTTCAAATATTGTATGCAGAAATTCATTTCATGGGTTTAAAAGAAATCTTTGATAGTTTTTTGCTAGAAAAAGTTAAAACCTGACAGAGATTGCATTTTAAATATAGATTTTACCCTCTAACAGAAGCAGATTGTCTGACTGATTAAACTGCTGTGGGAAGTTATTAACATGAAAAGTTGTAAAATGAAGAAATGGAAACTGAATTAAATGAATTAAATAGAATTTTTTTTCATGAATTTCTCTCTTTTTAATTAATGACATGACATGCAGTGATTGGCTGAGAACTGCAGCCCCATAACACATGAACAGCCGCTAGTGATGAATGTCTGTTCTTAACTACATTCATCCCCTCAGCACAGCAGATCAGTGGTATCTAGACGTCTACCTATTCATTCACCATCCACTGTAAATCCATCTTTAGAGTTTTATGCTGTCTTGCGGTCACTGCACTTCATATTTGGATTATAGGGTGAGCTTGTTTTGAAATGCAAAGAAGCAAAATTACGGGTTATCGGTACCAATTTGGCCATTAAAAAGCTGTTAATACTTATGAGTCAAAATCATGATTAACATTTTTGCCATTGGTTAGCATTATTACCACTGAAATGCCTTATCAGTGCATCCTTCATTTGGGAATGTGTCTGTTCAGAGTAGCGCAGTGATGATGGATGTTTTATAGATGGTTGTGGAGCTGATGTGAAATCAGCAGTGCCACTCTGAGCTGCTTTCGGTATTGGGGCTTAGGCTTCCCCAGGTGTCCAAACCTCATTTGTTTTGTCTTTTCAAGCCGTTGCACGAACCTTTTCGCTCTGCCCAGGAATATTGGCTTGGCATGAGCCCTCGACTGCTTCCTGTTAATTCCTCCATTGTTGCCGTCCTGCCCACGGTTTTCTTCCCATTGTG